GAAGCAACGCCAGAGGTATGCAGAGGCACAGAAACAGTTGCAGGTGCAGCAGCGCCTCCTCCTGCAGCTGCAGCTGCAGCACGATTTTCCACAGGCCTCCCTGGGTGAGGCTGTTGGCGATATTCAAGCCGAAGTCAGCCCAAACCAACGTTGCCGCAGCAGCAGCACCAGCGCAGCTGCAGCAGCTGTCACGGTGCCAGTAATAACTGAGGCAGCAGCAGCAGCTCCAGGCGCAACAGGAACATATGATACATTAGATTCAACAGCAGCCGTACGTAACCAACTAACAAAGGAACACTGGGAACATCAACGACGTGAAGACGTCGTACCGTCAGTGGCCTTATCAAGCACGCCAGCAAGCCCTGCAAAAGGAGTTACAGGTATAGCACTGCTGTCGGCAGAGGGTCCTGCAGCGGACGGAACAACAGCGGGAGAAACTGTGCCAGTACCACTCGCTCCAGCAGCCCCAGCTTCAGAAGAAGGTGCATCTGCGGCGTTGGCACCAGCAAAGGCAGCAGCAGCGGAAGCCAATGCACCGGTTCTAGTACCTTCTGCAATTCCAGTAGCGAAGGAGGGTGTATTCGCAGCGGAAGAGCCAGCAGAAGTAGCAGCTGCACCAGCAGCAACAGACTGTGCCAAAGACAGCTTATGGGGTCTTGATGTTGCCACCGCTGTCGCCGTATCTCTCTGCGACAGAGAGGTATCTCTCTGCGACAAGGAAGCCTCAGCTTGTTCATTTGAAAGCATTGGGTACAGTAGAGGCACCAGCAAGAGCCAAAGAAAGTGCCTCGACGTTGGCAGCGGCACTGATTCGCTTGAAGAGTTTCAGAGCTGCAGCAGCAGCACCAGCCTCAGCAGATGCAGCAGCAACAGGGACAACGAGCGACGCGGCACAGTAGGGGGGTGGATGTCTAATGGGCATTCCATGTGGCAGCAGCACAACAGCAGCATTGGCAGCAGCAATAGTTGCGAGGACCTCGAGGAGAGACTGACGGAGGCGCTTGGCATCGGCCTGCCGTACCGAAAATGGAACAGACGAGGTATCAAGGCAGCAACCCTAGGCATGGCGCCAGCTGCTGCCGCGGATCTGCTTCTGGATTCGCGCCGTGTCCACTGCGTTCAAACTAGCGGAGGGAACAGCCGCAGCAGCAGCAGTTCACCAAGGCTTCGCCGTAGCTCTCGTGTCTTATCCTCAAAAACGCCGCAACCACACAAGGCTGCACGTAGTACTTGCTGCTCGGCGGAGGTAAATGAGCGCGCCAAAGAAGCGGCAGCATACGCTGCGGACGCTGTTGCAGCTCTCATCGGCCAGGGACTGTACAACCCTACTGGAGTCTTTAGTGGTGGCAGCAGCACGCGCTGCAGCATTTCAGAAGAGCCGTCACCAACATCTGCCCGTGCTACATGCAGCAACAGCACTGGCAGGGATTTGACAAGGAAGAGTGAGAGTGTGACTGCTGCTGCGAGGAAAGCACCACCTGCGGCCCCGCTGGACGCATGCTCGCCTTGTGCTGCTACGCCGCCGCCACTGGGAGTGCCGTGCTGTTGCTGCAGCGCGCTGCAGCAACAAATTGACACGGATCCAGCAACTGCAGCCGCGGCAGCCGCGGTAGCAGGTGAAGGCTGCCCTCAGTGTCTCACAGATAGTAGTGAAGTGGACGAATTCCTCACTCCATTTCTCAGCGTCCTTCAGCATGGCCCTGTAGCGGCGGCTCCTTCGCCTGGTGTTGCTCTAAAGACACCTGTACAACCCTGCTGCCGTAGCAGCAGCAGCGTCGGCGGCATCGGTAGCAGCGTAAAAATGGCTCCGTGCAGAGAAGAGGAGCCCTGCGGCACCAGAGGAAGATGTAGGGGCAGCTTTTGTTGCAGCATTTTTGAATGAGCATGACTGCCCCACTGTGTTGTTTGGGTTCGGGAGGGGCCTTCATGTTTCAGAGGGAGAAGCAGCACGCACTGCAGCAGGAAGTGCAGGAGCACCTGTTGTTAAAGCCATAGAATGACACTGCTGAGATAGTGCACGCTTGCTTTGTATATATCTTTCCGTTGGTCTGCATGTCTTTTAAGCTGTCGATTGTTTTTCATAGGGTTCCATACGATCTCTGCTTACACCATATTCATACCCAAGATAGTGTCTCCCCGAATAGGGACCTCTAGGCACTGTTGGGATGGCCCCTGATGGAGTTCTTGTTGCGTTAAGCCATTTCGTTTGTCGTCCTGTGACTCTTTTTCTCCATTGCTTGCTGTATGGTTTAATGCGGCCCAGTGAGTGCATCGGGACCGGCATCATGAGTTGCTGCCTCCCCAGATGCCGCGGCTGCAGTAAGGGCAGCAGCAGCTGTAGAAGGAGCCGCCGTTGCTATTAAGGTGGTGTTGGACGTTTGGAGTGGAGAGCTGCAATTAATCAAGATATATCAGGTGTGTAAGACCACTTGGTGACACTTTAATTCCCACTTCACGTCCGCCGGGTTCGTGCTTTTCAAGTATTTTATGCTGCAGCAGCAGCAGAGGTGGCACAGGCGGCGTGTTCGTGACTCTCGATTGAGACGTGGAAAGGGGTGTGGAAAGGAGCAGCAGAGTAATTTGTTCCGCAGGCACACCACGCAGCAACGGCTGCTGTGTACTGCAGGCTGCCAATTCCAATGCCTTCATCACTTGCATTCCCCATTTGCCTTCATTACTTACTTCCCGGAAGCCGAATACGCAGAAAACAGTACGCCTGTTTCTCTAACTCACTATATGATAGGCGGGAATAGGAGAGCCGCACTGCGCCAGTAATACAGACAAGCGGGGCTTGCAGCATCTGAGGCTGCAGCTACTATACGTTGTAGGGCTGCTGGTGATGACGTAGCAGGGGACGACCGCTGCAGCGTATGCGTTTTGTATTGAAAAGACGCGTAGCCTACGGAGAGGTCCCGTTTTCATAGGCATCCACAGAGTATCTCGGAAGAGTAGGCCAATGGCCAGTCAGGGACCTAGTGCTAGGTGTTATTCAAGTTTGCCGTCCGTCACAATTGGCAGGTACCACTGATGTGCAATAGCCGCAAGCAGGTGTAGAGCGGCACCACTAAGAGCAACGAAAACAGGGACTTCCGTGTCTCTTGCGAGCACGCGCCAGTTTTGTAGCCTTTTACGATAGCTATTAAAGTCAACGTCTCGTCTTCGGGACTACCACTTGTGTGTGTAGGAATTTCTTACTGAGACAGGGGGGTGATAGAGTTTCGGCCGGCCTTATTCCGGTAGTTGGAGTGTTCGGCCATTTCCACTAGCACTTGCGAGTGTCCGACAGCTATGCAGGCTTGAGTCAAGAGGACATAAATCCTTTTATTGAGATAAAAAATATGTGATGCATCAGAGCCAGGCAGTAATCGCATCGATGTGTGCCAGTTTGTGTTGAGCAATACAGCAGTGTCGCGCCACGAGTGCGCGTTTCAGGAACACAGTACGGCAATTTGATCTTTATTCGACTTCCTTGGCTAAATATTTTTGTCTAAGGTACCTTTTGTGTAGAAAATCCGGGTTCGCGTTGTTGGGTTTGCGGAGGTAGATCTAGCATTAGCAAATCGACGCCAGTGACTCCGGAGCAGGCCACTGGTCCACTGTCCACTGGTCCGGCGTCGCTAGGATCAAGATGAAGACATTAAACAAGACGCCATATTTTCCCTTATGTGGAATTAAAAAGGTGTATCTTGAATGCTAGGAGAGCAAATAGCAGGTGTGCCGAGAGTTGAGCACAGGACTTCAGTGCCGACGCTTCCGGCTATCACTTCTTGAGGGGACAAAGGCAGCCTCAAGGACCATTCTTATGTCTCCGGCAGTAGTAGCTGTTGTTTTGTTGACGAGGCATTGCAACAGGTAAAATGGAAAACAACGCATCACGAAGGGAAGGAAGCGTCAGGCACATGAGGAGCTCGTGAGGGTCAAAGCAAACCCCAAGACCAACAGCCACGCTACGGCCCTTACAGGATATACACACACCGCTTCACTCCTAGTTAAAAAGCAGGAAGTGTGAGTGCTGGAGGCTTCGGAACCGCTCGTGTTGCTGCCGCCCCCTTGGAGCGAAACTGCAGCGTTCAGACTGGTTACAGTTCCTCCCTGCTACGCTATTTCAGTTCCATTCTAACTTAGGACTCAGTGGTTTGTGCGCCGCCCTTGATCTCCTTCGAGGATGAAGGGTTCAGGGGTTTCAAGGCTTAATGATGGAGTGCATGACGAAGAGAGTCCAGTGAAACCCACAGTACAGTCCGTCAGGCCTCCGAAGTGCCCCAGAGCATTCTCAGGTTCTGTGAGCTATCGGTGGAGGTCTCAGACGATCATTGTAGCCTGCGGTATGGCTTAGAAATACAAATATTTGTATCTGCTGCGGGACACTAGAGCGGCTAGGCTTTCAGCACAGCATACAGAACTGCCCATGGGACACTGTGACATCAACTTACTATGCACATTAACCTTGAAAAGTATTTCAGTACCACAGGCCGGAATTCCAGTACACAGATCTTGCGAAAATTTGTGTATTTGGGCTTGTGGGTTTTTCGTTTGCACGTCTTAGCGCCGGTCTCTGTTTGGCCAAACGGCTTTATACCCTGTTCCTGCGTCTTGTTCACTTTTGTGTTTCTCTAGGCAGCAACGAAAGCGGACAGCTTGCGCACCCGCTTAAGCTACATGCAAATGCTGTCTATCTCCTGCTGCCCACCCCAACCACTTCTTTGGAAGAGGACAAAAAACGGGGAGGAGCTTCAAGGGGCTGGACCAACAAAGATAGAGGGAAAAGTCAAAGCTTCTCCGATCAGCGAAGTTCCCCTTTCGCCGCAATTAAAAGAAGCGGCAGCAACAGCAACAATAAAGAGAGGGGATACACATGTAATTCTTCAACCTTGGAGAAAAACAGAAATTTAGATGAATCTGGACCGTGCAGAGCTGCAGCTGACTTGTGGTATGTAGCAGCAAAGGAAGCGGCAGCCGTCTCTCGCGTATGCAACAATCTGCTAAATCTTGGGAAAGACATGCAGTTCCTCCCATATCCCTCAGGCTGCACTGCACGTGACAGGCCCTTCGAAGGTTTCGAAGGAAGACTTGACAGCAGCAGCACCGGCGGAGCTTTGTTCCTGGCACGGCAGACTGGCGCTTCTTCTTTAAACACGACGGTAACAGCAACAGAGGCACTAGAATTTACCGCATCCATATCACCCTCACATCTCCCGAATAGAGAAGCACTAGCACTGTTAGAAGGGACGAAAGGACAAGTGACAAGGAGAAACGACGTCGCCGTTAATAACTTTCCAGGAGCCACGTCTGCTTGTTCTTCGTTTACCGTGGAAACGCCTTTTGAGGTCAGGAAAGTATGGGTCGCTTGAAACTCCTGTGCTTTTTCATGTCACTGCGGGTGTGCTGTTGAAGTCCTAAGAGGTCTTGAAGGTCAGATGTCTACCATGTGGTTATTGGGGTGTGCGTGGCTGTGCGCGTGGCTCAGATGAATGTACGGACTGGAAAAGCGGGTGTTCTGAGGAGGATCACAGTGGGTGGATGGGGTTCCCCAAGGGCTCCTCATCCATGGGTAGCGCGAGAGTTGCTGCTGGAGGCATTGAGAGACGCTTCTGAAAATGGCTGCCGTTGGAGACGTCTTGAGAATGCCGGCTGGTCCAAAGCATGCCATCAGGAGCAGCAGCGTCAGCAGCAGCCAGAGCAGGATCAGCCCAACGTGATTAGGGTGTATTGCGGAGCGCAGCACTCAGCAGCGGTTATGGAGGAGGGCGGGCTTTATGTATGGGGAAGCAACAGCTGCGGCCAACTAGGAATCGCTCCTGCAGGTGACTTGGATAACTCCGCAGCGCCACTGCAGCAACAACAGCAAAATCTGTTTCAGAGTAGCCGCAAGAAAAGCAGGAGCGTCAAGGCAGCAGTGGCAGCAGCTATGCGCAAACAGCGCCTGCCTACATCCCTGTGGAGGCCGTCAATCCTCCCTATGTTCGGTGGAGAACACAAAGTACAAGCCGTTGCCTTGGGCGGTGAGAAGAAGCTGCTGCGTGTTCTTTCAGTTTCGCGTTGATACCGTTGCTGCGTTTGTTGCTTCGACTGGCAGCATGGCTGTTAAATACCCTCGTGTAGCGCTTTGCCAAGGTGCCGCTAGATTTGCAGCTACGTTGCTCCCGCTCGTTGCTTTTACTCCTACGGGTGTTGACTGCGGTCCAACTGAGATTGATTCTGCCTATGCTGGGCTATGTCTGCCACGGCCGCTGCAGTTCCTGTTGACTCCGACGGAGCACAGTAAGCTGCTACGTGGTCTCACACGTTGTTTAGTAGGTGTTCTTTTCGCGTCTTCAATTGCTTATGTTGCTGCTGCAGGGGAACATAGCATATTTCTCTGCCGAGATGGCTCCATGTGGGTTTGTGGCAGCAATGCTGAAGGTCAGCTAGGCCTCTTTTCAGCTCCACAACAGCCGCTTCTTTTTGCTGCACTGCCCCAAAGGATGCCGATAGAAGACCGGACAATGTACAAGGGCCTGAAACCTCCAATTGCGGCTGTTGCTGCTGGTTACAGGTCTGTAGTAGCTGCTGCCGCGGCAGTAGGGGCCACCAACAGACTGCACTTTCTTCACAGCCTTGAAGCCAGCACATTCTGCATTCTCGAGCCGCGAACCTCTATTTACTCTCTGGTTGCTCCGTTGCCGCATCCAAGAATGTCTAATTTCGTGCTTCCCCAACTGCTACATTCTGTTCGCCCGAGTGGACGTACAGCGGTCTTCGCACCTGCTGCAGCTGGAGCCTGGCCGGAACTTCAGAAGCAAGTGCTTTTTTGGCTTTCCGCTGCAGGCATTCAGCTTGTATTGATTGCAGAGATCAGTTGTTTACTTGGGGCAACAATGAGGTAAAAATTCACCTTCACCGTTTCTTTCCTAACAGTTGAAGAGAATTTGCCTGTCCGCTGCCGCTGCAACTGAATTTGTTGCAAGCGCAGCTGATGGCTTTGCCTTATAGCGGTTTCTGAAGGTGCCCTTATCGTGCGGTTATTATTTCTTTCGTCGGCTGGTCGTTTGCACTGATGCCTCTCTCGAGTACTGGGATGGATTTTTTCTCCTTCTATCGCGGCTGATCATTGCTGCGGCAAGGCACCTGCCATCCTCAGCGACTGCCGTTTCCTCTGCTGCTTGCAGGGTGATTGCTGTTTCGCGTGTTAGCTCTCCCCTTGCAAATTCTTCTCTTTGTGTCGGTTCAGGTGGTGCTCTTCATTGTTTCTGTTTTCTTTTATTCCTGCTGCAGTTTGGACAGCTGGGTAGAGAAACTTCCTGTCGGAGCCTCAGTCCCTTCAGGCCCTCTCGTGTCCGGTTTCCCTTCGCCACTGGAGTTGTGCAGGCACGTCTTTTCATTATAGCTGCTAATGGAGACGTATCTGCGTTTCATGCAAGAGGTGCCACTGTTGCTGCTGTAGGCCGCAAAAGTCCATGCTTTTGGTGTTGTGCCTGCCAGTGGCCGCACCTTTTGAACCCCTTACATTGCTAGTGGCTTCAGTGGCTGCTGGACCCTCCGCATCATTTTAGCCTGCGTCTTCCACTGCTTCTGTAACTGCTTGTTCGACTGCTGCTACTTGTGCTTGCATTGTGTGTCAGGTGTGTCTTGGACGGTGGCACAGTGCTTGCCTTTCTGATGAGGGTCAAGTTTATGTTTGGGGCCCCGCCCTCGTTGGCTCTTGGGAAACACGCAAGCTGAAAGCAGTACGGAATGCAGCCTCACAATACGCCTTTTGAAAACAAGAGTGGACAAGTAACCTCGTAACTCAAATCCTGCTGTCTATCTTTGAAGTGGCATTTGCAAAATTTTGCGCGTCCAGTAGTGCTCCATGAACATTATTGGATGCCTTCATATGCTATGAAGGTTTTACCTGTCTGAACTATGAACGATCTGCAATGCTATCATGCCGTTACTAACGTATGAGTGCATGCATTAGCGCTGTCACATGCTCTTTGGCGCACGCTTACAGAAGTATCAACAAGTAAGCCCACAGCTACACAGACGTGTGAATACGTTTCTCGCTCTGTGCTCGTACATCTGCCGCTGCATTTAAGCCTTTGCAAGCACAAAAAAATTCATGTTGCAGTAGCACGTATGGACGCAGCCAGGCGTTTTGTGCTGTCCCATCACTTGCCAATTCAGCAGTGGCTTTGGCGCGGCCGCCAGATGCCCACGAAGACGCACCACCTCTGTGGCCCTCAGCTACTGAAGGGCTTGGGGAGTTTTGCTACACGCGTTGTGTGCGGCGGTACCCACTGCGCTGCAATCTGTGCTGCGGACAGGAGCAGCGAGGAGCAGTTGCTGCAGCAACTTCTGCAGCAGCTGGACTGGAAGAGCCAGAAACATAAGTCTACACTTTCAAGTGCTGTCGTGAGGGAGGGGAAAAATAAAAAAGAAGGGAAAAAGCTGGGACGTCCTTCGAAACTTTTCTTCTCAAGACCTCTTCAGCAGTACAGGGCCAAGCTAGCTCAACAAACCCAGAAAAAGAAGCGTACGGAGCGCAAACTCCGTGAGGAATGGCAGCTCACGGGCTTTCAGTGTCCCTGAAGAGCCTCATTTCATTTAAGATATGCGGATCCATTCAAGCTAAACGTTATAACCCTGCCTGTTCACCACTGAAAGGCATGCCGTATCCTTTAATAGCTGCCAGATGTGGTGCTTTGGGGTGTATTTGCAGCTGCACCACAGCAAGAGCAACAGGAGAGCAAGAGCGCTTACTCTCAGTCGGGAGACAAACTACTGATGTGGGGTAGAGGGTCTGAGGGACAGCTGGGTCTGAACTCAATCCGCAATGTTGTGAAACCTATAGAGGTGAGGAAGTCAAAAGGGCTGATAGAAACTGAAAATACGAGTTTGGCAGGAATGCAATGCAGTGGAAGGAGAAGAGTACGCACTAACTCATGTAGAAACACTGAAGGAGGCAAGGGAAGCGCAGCCTCAGGGACTTTACATACGTGGTAACAAAGTGGACAGTGCGCAAACCGCAGACCGCTGACGAAGGGAGCGTCTGCACACTCAAAGGGCAACAGAATGTTTCACAAAGTAGCCAACATATTCAGAGCGGCCGCTGAGAAGCAACGGGAGGCCGACACAAGTAATCAGCTTGCGCAACTTCTCAAGTGCCAGTCTCTGCTGTGTCGCAACGTTTTCGGTACTTTTCTGTGCCGTTTGCTGTCTCAGTTACCATTCTTGCAGGACCCAAAACGCCCCTCCTACATTCAGATCCACAGATTGGCCCTTGGCCTCGCCTTTACGATTGCCGGCGTCTCATTTTACCCCTCCAGTCACTCTTCCGAGGATGAACGTTCTCGCAGCTCCTCCACGTCGTCGTCCTTCGCCTCTCTACCGCCCCCGCTGGAGGCTACTAGCAAAAGCGCCTCATTAGACTGGTCAGAGAAGACAAGTGGTCCGCATGGACGGCCCCCGTGGGTGCCTCCGCTCTGCTTTGTTCAGACGGGTCCTTCCTTTGTTTCCATTGATAAGACGTCAAGCACGTCTTCAAATGCAGAAGAAAAAACAGCGGGGGACGGTGGCTGGACAAGAACGGTATTGAGGGAGATAACTGTCTCAGAGGCGGCTGAGGCGATTCGCTGCTCCAGCTTTTCCAGAAAAGAAGACCCGTGCAGGAGTCTCTCACTACGTTCTTTTCCCCTTCAGGCACCTTTGAGGAATTTGTTGCCTCCGCCGCGGCGCAATACTTTTAGTTGTGGATTCAGCGGGTCTGCTGAGGGCAGTTTCCCTTTTACAGACCTTTTCAGCTCAGCAGTCTCCTCCGACAGTCTTCCTCATTGTCCTTCGGCCTCTTTTGGTAAGTATGGAGGCCACTCAGGGTCCCATCTCCGTCCTGACAGATCAAATCTGGAACAGCACGCCTGCGTGTTGCCCATACAGCTATATGCATGGGGCAGCAATGAGCAGCAGCAGATTCCCCTATCTCCTCAACAGAGACAGGAAACAGGGAGAAAGAGAATCAAGCTTCCAAAGCGAATTGATCTTGAGGCACTTGCGTACAGTGCTCTTCAGAACACCTGGACACCTCCACTAGCTTTTACTGCTGCCAGTTTTGGAGGCAGCAACAGCAACTGTAGTGGGGACAGCAGCAACAGCGGAAAAGGAGCTGCAGATGCTTCACTGCAGGCAACAGATGCAGCAGTGACCCAACGTATTAAGGGGCACCTTTTTTTCTCACAACGGCTTCGGACTCCTCTTCAGATCCTGCGGAACTATCGCAAACGCTCATTTCTTGCAGCAGCACCAAGTACAGTGGCTGGGCCTGCTGGTCAAATCCGCAGGAGTGCTGCAAATGAGGCGGGAGAACCAGAGCAACAAAGCCCATTGAAGGCATATCTTTCCCGGCTGCTCACGCGACTGGACTCTCTAGGAGGGAGGGATACAGAGGTAGGGGAGAGACAGGCAAAACGAGCAGAAGGGACAGGCGACAAGACCGCTAAAAAGGGCTCTAGAGAACATACAGGGACAACGGCAGCCGCAAAAAACAGAGCAGATGAAGCCTGCTTGTCTTCCAGCCCACATTCCATGGAAGTAACACCTCCACAAACAAAAGGCAAGGGGGAACCTCTAAGGTCAAAAAGCTGTACGGAAACAAATAAACGGTCTCCACTTTTCTCTGTAGGCAGCCGACGGCTTCCCATATCTGTTCTACGAAAACAGGCCAACTCTGCTGCTTCGAACAGATACAGCAGGCAAGCTTCACTATCCAGCAAGAGCGGAGGCCAACCTTTCAGTTCACGCAGCAGCAGCAGAGGCGGCGGAGTCTGTAATACCAGCGCCCGCAACCAGCTCGAAGCTCAAAGACGCAAAGGCGAGTTAAGTGTATTTGGCTCCGTACGCCGGAGCAGCGCAAGCCGCTCGTACACGATCCCGACAGACGACGACCCGCCCATCGGAACACGCGGGGAATTGGGTACAGATGGCGTGTGGAGATCCATTGAAAGAGTAACAGTGAAGGATATTGCCGCAGGAGAAACGCACAGTTTGCTGCTGCTGGAGATATCGTACTGGGAGAGAATCTGCAACAGCAGAAGCAGCAGCTACAACAGAAGTCCCTGAGGAACAGCTCTGGAGCCTTCAAAACGCGGTCCCCAGCAATATACGGACGTCCTTCAGCAACATCTTTGCTACAGTAGCAACCGCTACAGGAGTATACACTGCATCAGCACCCGTTATCGTAGTATATCTGTAAGCAAATCCCTTAAGTCTTGCCAATATATTAAATTTGTAAAGAAAAAAAGAAGGCCTTTCGGTGAGGCCCCCTTTTAGTGTCGTTTTCGTCGGATGGCGCGGCACCCGTGCCGCAAAGGGTACACGTTGCCTGCTGTGCAGTGCTACTGGAGGCCCTACGTGCGCATAGGCCCCAGGCTACCCTGCTGTCGCTAGAATTCCTACAAACTACGCCGCAGTGGGCCCAACTATGGCACTATTACCAATTGTACAGGCCCCAACCGCAAGGGCGTACGTCGTTCGGGGCCCGATAGGTTGAGTACAGACGTCAATCTTGACGTTTGGGCTCTTCAGAGACGTGGGTACGCCTCTGGCTTCAGGGCTTGGGCTTGAGCGGCTCGTAGTAGAACGGAGGGCCCCCGAGGACTGCAGGTCTGCCCTCCAAGTTTGGGTTTAAGGGGAATAACACCCGCGAGACAAGTGCAAGAGGGATGTCGCCTATTGTGCCGGTATGCCTGTGGTGGTGCTGCTGCTGCTGGTGCCGCTGCAGCAAGTTCACAACGGGCTTCTGGATGTGGTCCTGGCAGTTGACCTGTTGGGGGTGACCTCTTGCTGCTGCTGCGGCCGCTGATGCCACTGCGACAGCAGACGCGCCAGCCATCAGCTGGAGCGAACGCTCGGCTTCTGGGGAAGGCGCCCTGGCTCGACTGTCTGTAAATCACAACGAAGGCCGCATGCCCAATCGAGAAAGTTCGTTCTATGGGTCTACATTCTAGGGCTCGGTCTAGATGACACGGCACAAGGCAGCGAAATAGACTGAGGGAGCTACAGAACAGTTGCATCCGCACGCCACAACCTTCAGAGCCAAAAACCCTAAGTGATGTGCGGTTGTTTCACACCTCTGGAAGGTGGTGAAATGTGCAGCGGCACACCTAACTAGAGACTTGGGCATGTAAACAAGCGAAAGCTGCCGCGCATAAAGTGCAAGAGAGGAACAGGCAATGCTACTTTGTGCACAGAGCAAGGTACACCAAACGACCACAAATTCTTCCATCGCAGTTCAACTCTGCGTACTATCTAAAATACATATATGTATATATATATATATATGTTCAAGTCTGCACCGGCACATGGCATATGCACCTTGCATTGGCTTCCTAGGTGCATGGATGCTGCACTGACACGCCAGAGCACCTTTGCAAACAGCCGGTCAGATGCAGTAGCTAGCGTCTACCGCTCCCAACTAGGGGAGGTGGAGCTGTCGCTCGAGCTCTTTGAACTTTACGGTGTACTGTCTGTGCTTTCTGCTTGTTCTCTCAGTTGCATTTTTGTTCCCCTTGCCTGTGAACTGCCGCATGTCGTCAGGAGGCGGGGAGTACAACATGTTGATTAAGACATAGCCGAAGAAGACAACAGCTAGCACGACCAGCAGCAACACAGGCAGCGACAGCGCCCAGTACCTGAAGCATGCGCAAAGCGCAGCAACAGCATAGCACAACTACTCAGCCCAGACACCGCAGACAGCCACGGGCCCACACAGCACGCAGAGGCCTGCGCATGCAGATGAGTTGAGACCGGAAACACCTACAGGCGGTCAACATTGTAGGCAGCAACTCTGTAAGCTGCCACAAAAGCCTCCAGCAAGCAGCAGCGCACAACGACAGATTCTGATGCCATATACAGGTACACGTCTCGTCTGCCCGCATGCGAAAATAGGCAGTGAGATCGCGTCAGCTGCGATCTATAGGGTTGAGGGGAGAGAGTAGAAAGGAGCAACAGAAGCTGGAGCGGCCAAGAAGGGAGGCCAAGAGGCGAGTGTAGACGAGACGCGCAAAGCCAGACATGCTGACACGGAGGCCATCGCAGAAGACTGACGCAGATGGGCAGACAGGGCCTTTGCAGAAGACACAGAAGCCCAATACGCGGCAAAGGGGAGGCAGCTGCAGCCACAGCCGCAGCTGCAGCAACCCACTAGACCCAACAAAGCCAGCAGCACAGGTGCGCTCAAGAGGTTTGACTTGTCATGGGGGGTTCAGTTGTGTCGCCGTCTGGACCGCTTGCCTGTCCGGGTAGTAGCTGATGCCGAGCCTCTCGAGCTGCTCTCTGCTGCTGAGGGACCAGAAGAAGTAGGCGAAGAAAGCCACAAAGGAAGTCAGCCAGCCCACAAAGCCGTTCACCTCTGTGGAGGTCGAGTCACCCATTGTCAAGAAGCGGAGTTCGGCGCTCAGAGAGCGACAGAGGCACCGACGGCAGCTGCTATTAAGACAAATGTGCGAATATGGCTGAAGGCGAGTGGGGGGGCAGCAACACGCAGAGGCAAACGGGGCCCCCCAGGCGAGCCCAAGGAGAGGCAGAGGCGGCCACTCAAAGACGCAGAAACAGCAGCGCCCAGAAAGGCAAATGCGGCTATATGTGGGGAGCTGTGCAGGTAGTGGGGGCACAAAGACACACAAGAGCCGCGGCAGACACACCCAGACTTAATAAAACTGAAGACACTGCCGAAGACACTGTCTTCAAGCGAGGCTCTCCAACGGCCAGGGGGTCCCTGTACGCGCTACGCCAAGCTTTAGAGCCCTGGTTTAGGCATGGGGATATCTCTAGGGCCCGTGCGTCGCCTGTCAAGTCGGAGGCCCCCTCTGGGCCGGGGGGGCGCCAGTGAAAACGAGAGGTCCCAGCAGAAGTGAGGGCCCGTTTATGGGCTTCAGATTTCCTGGGAACTGCCTCGGGTAAGAAGTCTCTGCCTACTTGAACATACTTTGCGGAGGGGCCTTAGCCGGAAACGGGGCCCCTATATAGGGACCCTTGTCTGAGGTGATGCAGCCAGCTTTCAGAGGCTGGGCTGCTTTCACGCACAGATAGGAGGCCCTTCTGCAGTCTAAGAGTGCCGTTGAGCCGCCTGCTCTGTTGCCCCTGGATAGAAACTGGAGAGAGGGTGCAGCAACAGGGGCCCCTCGCGTCCTAGTGAAGGGCGCTCGGTTTGACACACCCACACGGCATGGTCAAAGTAAAAATGAAGAGTAAATTCAATATTGAAAAGTATTTCCTGGGAAATAATGACTCATAAAGTAAAGAAGAAACACAGCCCGCCGTTGGTGTTGCTGGTTCGGCACGGGGCCCCCTGCGGCAGCAGCGCCAGCTCCTGATGCTGCTGCTGTACACACTGCTGCTGTTGCTACGGCTGTTCCTCCGCATTTTTGCTAAGCACCTAGCAGTGAGCTCACTTGAGGCTCCTTGCTTCCTATAAATCTTGAAGATGGCAGAGACACTTCCTGAGAAGGTCGGTTCGGCGGTAGCAGCAGCGCAAGCCGACGAGAGCGGCTCCGCAGCAGCAACAGGAGCAGCAGGGGAAGATGCAGGATTGGGAGGCCAATACACGAAACCGTTCCCGCCCCCACCCCCTGAGGTCAAAGAAATGGCAATGGAGCAGGAAAGAGGTTCGCCATTGCTGATGCTGCTGCTGGTAGAACGCTGTTTGCTGCTGGCCAAATGTAGCTATGTTGCTGCTGCTGCGGCTGGAGTCGAGCAGAAAGGGAGAGAGGCGTAGTAGCAGTGAAGGTGGTGCTGACACTCCAGACACTCCAGGTGGAGCCGGAGAAGACTGGAGGCAGACGCAGCCGAAGAAAAGGGGCTGCAGAAAAAGCAGAAAAGGGGAAAAGATGTAGAAATATAGTAGGATATAAAGAGGCTGGCCGCAGGGGAAGCCTTAGAATAGCTATGTGTACAGTTCAGAGTCGCCCCATCTCAGCAGCTGCATCTACTGCAGCGGCTGCTGCCGCTGCCACAGGGTCAATCCCGTTGAAGCAGTTCATCTCTTTGCTGTGTTTTTGCTGCATTTCGGCACCTTCGGTTTTATTTCTTTTGAAATACTGCAGAGATCGCTGAGAAGCTCCGGGAAGTCGAGGAAAAGAAGGAGAAGGGGAACGAACTCTGGAAGCAGGCAAGTTCTTGCTGCTGCTGCTGCTGCTGCTGCCGCTGTGTTGCTGCTCTTGTTGCGACACCAGTCACATTTGCAGGTGCAGCTGCGGATTTGCTTTTCGCAGCTGCTGCTGCGGTTAGCCGTACAGGCGTTTGTGGCGTTTGTGGTGCTTCTGCTGTTGCTGGTGTACTGCTTCTGCTGGTGGCATTGCAGCTGTTTCTCGCTGCTGCCAGCATGCTGCTTTGACTGCTGCCGCTGCTGGCGGTGCTGCTGCTGCTGCTGCTTTCAGGGCCAAGTCGACGAAGCAATCAGAGAATGGCAGCTGTCGCTCAAGATTTGCTTCTCACTCGCCTGCCGAGGTTAGCTGCTGCGTCCTTTAGGGCACCAGGGTTTAGGCTTGAGGACAAATGGCTGGTGTTGTGCATTCGTTAGCTGCTGCTGCTTCTGCTGCCCGTCTCTGCATGCGCTGCTGCCTTGCAGCTCTTGTCTTTGGCTGCGCCCTTGCCTGCTACTAATGGCGCTGCAGCAAGGGCACGTGGGTTGTTGCCTGTTTGTGTTTGTGTGGGACAAGTGCTGCTGCTGCTTTTGACGAGCCTTGTGGTGTATAGACAGCTGCTGCATGCGCTGCCCTCACGGGCATCGATTACTTTTGTCTTTTTTGTTTCTGGTTTCTTCTGCTCTCCCAGGGCCCCACATGGGCCAGGAACTCATTCCCCTGGAGCTGCCGTTACACCTCAATTTGGCTGCAGCTGCACTCAAAACTGGAGAAGCTCACACAGCCATTCATCACTGCACCAGAGCGTTGCAGCTGAAGAAGACGCACCCCAAGGCGCTCTACAGGCTTGCCAAGGCGCATCTTATGGTCAATGTAATCTTATGCTGCTGCTGCGGGTGGATGTGCTGCTGCTGTGACTGGTCTTGGGACTGCTGTCCGTAGTGTGGCTGCTGGTGCTTCTGCGGGGATTGTTGCACACCAGCTGCGCGGGCAGCAACTTCCTCTCTACTTTTTCCAGCTGCCGTTGCTGCTGCATCTTCTGCTGCAGGATTTTCAAGACGCTTCAGAAGCAGCAGAATTGCTGCTGCAGGTGCAGCCAGGTGACCCTTTGGCTCTGTCACTGCAGCAGGAGATAGCACGGGAACGGGAATTGCACAAGATCCAGCAGCGACGGCTGATGCGAAAAATGATGGGCGTCAGAACCAAGAGCAGCAGCAGCAAGGGCAACACCAGCAACACCAGCAGCACGGACAGCGGCACTTGCAACGCATCTTGTACCCCGTCGAAAGAAGCTGATGATCCCAGCATCAAGACCTCCAGCAACACAAGCAGCAGCAGCAACACAAGCAGCAGCAGCAGCAACACGAGCAGCACCAGCAGCAGCAGCAACGCAGACAGCAGCAACAGCTTCATATGGGACATACAGTGGCGCGATGATGACCAAGACACCTCTTTGTGGCTCCGTCCGCACTCTCTAGAGTACTTGTCTGAGGAATGCAATTTCCCTTTGACTCGCTCTCTCCCCCTCACGCTGCTGTCAGCCCTGCACCAGCTGCAGCTGCAACAGCAGCAGCAGCAGCAGAATCAAGCTTTGCCCGATTTGAAGAAGGGTACACTCTGCCTCCATATTTTGGGGGCCTCAGCACATCATGAGTTGAGCTGCCGCTTCACTTCCATCTTGGAGAGGTGGCCGCAGCTGAAAACCCTCATAATTCTCTTTGTAGGATTTACTCAAGGGGGGCCCAACCCCACTAAGTTTGAAGGCAAGCCATCTTTGCTGTTGTTGCTGCTGCCGCTCCTGGTGCTGCTGGTGCTTCTTCACCGTGTCCAGCCGCAGCTGCTCTGTTAGTGGCTGCTGCTGCTCCAGGAGTTTGTTCTGTTGCTGCTGCTCTTGCCGTCGCAGTCGTCTTTGCTGTTTTTTGCTGCTTTTTTGCTGCTGCTGCTTTTGAGGCGTTTACTATCTGCTGCGCACGTGCTTGCCGCGCCTTGAGTGCTTCTGCGCTGCCAGTCTCATTGCTGGGCCTTAGCTGCAGCCACAGCTAGTGCTTCTGGTCCTTTTCAGTTGCCCCTGTTGGTGCTGCCGCTGCTTCTGCTGCTGCTGCTGCCGCTGGTGCTGCTGCCACAGAAGACCTCGTCAAGGGAGAGCTGTCTCCCCCACACTGTGTCAAAGTCGATGGACGAGAGCAGGTCGCTGTTTTCTTCAAAGGCACTTACTCGGATTTGGCGAAGGTATATGCTGGCGGTTGCTGCTGCTGCTGCTGCAATGCCTCATGTTCCGTTTGACTGCTCAGGACCACGGATCTATTTTTTGCGCCGATTCTGTTTTCAAGCCTTCATGCATGCGTTTGTTAATGTGTCTCCTGAAGCCCTTTGGCGTCATCTCCCTCTTCCAGTGTCTGCATTAACTTGCCCCGTGTGCATTCCAGCTGCTGCTGCAGCTCTCTGCGCTGCTGGATCTTCTGCTTCAAATTCCTTGCGTTCCAGTGCCTCCCTTTCACCGCTCTGGGCAGAGAACAGTGACCAATCAGATCGAAAGAAACACGAGCCGAGTTTTTTTCTGTCTCACTTTCTCAGAAAGTCCCCGGCATTCTCTCCAACCCCAAATGTACTTTCTTTCCAGATATAGCACTTTTCAGCACCCTAGGGGCACTCCAGGAGCCCTCCAAAGGTACTGAGGCCACAGCAGATGGGCCAGACACCCTATCTGAGGCGACACTGGAGACACTGCGTCTCCTTATAGACAACAATGTGGTGAGCTTCTGCTGGGCTTTCTACCAGCTTGCTTCTCTCTTGTCAGGCATTCTACTGTTGGTCTCTATCTTTTCATTTCCCTGCCGTGCATTCTCCATGCTATTCTCACTCTCCTAGGTCCGCTCACATTGATACCCTCCTCGAGGATTCTTTATGCATTTCTTGTTTCCCATGTCTTTTTGTCTCCGCCTGCCTCACCGCCCGTGCTGCTGCCTTTTATTATTTTGGCTCTACGCTTATCATATTGTACCCCGCATTTGTTGGCTGTGCTGTTGGGCTTCCAGCATTTTCCCTGCTTACGGGGGCCCCCGGGGGGCCCCCGGGGCCCCCCGCGCCCCGGGGGCCCCGCGGGGGGCCCCCTAGTTATTTGCCCTTCTCTCGGCCTCTGTGTCTATTGGGAAGCCGTTGACTGCTCTTTAGCAGCTTTCACACTCTGCGTTCATTTTGTTAGATTTCGTCTCTACCGCTAGTGGCTCTGCCCCTGTATCTCTGGCTGCAGCTAACGGTTATCACAGAGAGCAATTTATGCACGGCGGAAGATGTTGCTGCATATTCATCAGTGGCAGCAGCAAGAACAGCCGCAGCACCGCCACTGCCACCCAGCAGGGGCGCACCAGTGGTTGAGCAGCTAGGTGGCCTGCTACTGCTGCCCCCCGAACGCAGCAGATTCCCGCTGCTCCTGGAGCTGCCCTCGGCAGCAGACGGAGCCAAAGCTGCGAATTTTGCTGCTCGGAATGCTGCTGCTGCTGCTGATGCAGCTGCAGCTGCAGCGGAAAGAGCCAAGGGGAAAGCCTCCCCGGAGGCTGTTGCTGCAGCAGAAGCAGCAGCCAAGAAGGCAGCAGCAGACACTGCTGCTGCTGCTGCTGCTGCTGAGCTAGCTGCTGCTGCTGCTGCTGATGCAGAGTCGAAGGCCGTCAAGCAGCACGTGGCATGCGCCAAACACGGAAGTAAGACAAGGAAGACTTTAGCTCTAAGCTGTGCACCGAATTGGCTCTCTTTTGCTCTCACATTCTGGCGTCGAGAGCTTTGTGTTGGCCACTGAGGGTTTATTTGTGTTTTGCTGCTGCAGGCTTTTTTGCATTCAAAGGCCGTGACCCTCGGGCTACTGGTGCTGCCGGAGCTGCCATGCCGTAGGACGCCAGCAGCTCTTACACCAATGCAGCTTGGGCTTGTTATTTCTAAGGTTTACAAATCTGATAGTAGGGCATTGACCGCAGACAGTGGAGCCTCAGGTGGCAGACAAGGGCCGAGCTTATGCTGCTGCTCCCATCAGTTGCTGCCGCATCTGCATTGTAGCGGCAGCTGTTTTTCTGCAATGAGTGTTGCTGCCGCGACACTTCTGCATCATGTGTTGATGCAGCATGTGTTGCTGCAGCATTTATGTGCTGCTGCACCGGTTGGCTGGGAAGTTTCTGCTGCCGCGGCAGTTGTCGCAGCTTAACGCTGCTGATTGTTCTGCGCCGCCGCACAGAGACTGGCCGAGGTTACCGCAGCGGCTGTGTTTCGCTGATTTGATTGTGGTTATTTAATTTACGGGGATGTTAAAGGCGCAGCTAGACACAAAGGCTAGGGATGCAGACATCGAGGCAGACGCAGAAACAGAGCAAAGTGATTGGAGCCAAAGCGGAGAGAGCCAGCGCGGGAAAGAGAGACCTAGAGAGCCGAGATGTAGGAAACAGTGGAAACCAGCAGGCTGCCACAGGAAAGAAAAAGTCCACGGTGCAAAGCGAGATAAGGGAAGAGATGCATTTGCAGACGGCCCACTGACACTGCACAGAGCACGTCGTACTACAGCGACTCTCTGGAAGCTCTTTCTCCCTGCTTTGTGCCTATTTCTTTCCACGCCGACGGCGAACTTCAGACAAACGGATTGAGGAGGCTACCCCACTTTGTTTTGGTGCATCTTTAAAGAGGCCTTTTGAAACAGAGGCGCGCCGCCATTATGGGCCCGCGGCTTGGAAAGGGTCTCATAGGGCGTTTTCCTTCCCGTACTAAATTTTTCAGGGAGTTTGAAAGCGGCTTACTCAAGGGCCCGCTGCTAGAGACCTGCGCCTCTAAGAGCGGTTCCCAGCAAGTAGAGGGGCTAACAAATGCACAGGAGCGCTCAAATTGGGAATTGCCAGAGTGCGCACAAATGCCAAGCGACGCATGGAAAAGCCCAGTGATACTGGCCTTCTAGTGAACGGGCATTGGCTAGGGGCCAAATGCCCCAAAATAGACGGAGCCAATAGATAGACAAGGCCAGTAGAGGGGTGGGTTCTCTCACACTCAAGGAGCATCGCAGTGTACAACTGTAACTCTCATCGGCCTGTGAGCACTTGGGACTCGTAAATGGGCACCATGTATTTAATGTTGATAAAGGCATCAGGACCCCCTGTCTCCTCCATCATTTTAAGGGTCTCCTCAATCAACACAGCAACGTCCTCCCTGCAGCAGAAAGACACACTCGATTCTGCTGCTGCTGCTTGACGGCTGTGGTCCTGAAGAGTTGCAGCTGGGGGCAGGTCATCTGTGTCCAATAGAAAGGTCTGCGGTGCAGGGGTCGGTGTATTGGCTCTAAAAGGAGGTGAACTTGGACTGTGTGTGCAGCTGTTTCCAAGGGTTAAAAATGGATGTGGTGTGGCTCATGCCTTCTTCGTTGCGCGTAGTCTGTGGCGCTGTTTAGATTGTTCCTTTTCGAGATGAAGAGGTTAAAACATGGTAGCAGCTGACGGTAGTAAGGCACGAGGGCTTCTCCCGCGTGGGGTCCTAACAACGGGCAAAACGAACAAAAGAAAACCTAAGTAGTCAGGGGTCCAAATAGACTTCAATGCTGAAGGCGCAGAGGCACTGCACAGCCCGCAGCGTGTCTTGTCTGCCCTGTCAGCAGAGCAAAACAGACCAGTATGCACAAAAGAAGCAAAAGTACCCTTTTAGAAAGCCTGATCGCGCCCACTTACCAGTTTGTAGAAGCTTCTGAATGACTTTCAGGGTGGTGGCCATTACCTACGGAAGGCGCATACACAGGGCGAGACGCGAAATAGAAAAAAGAGGGGAAAGCAGGAACAAAATAATGGTTATGGAGCCGGCTTTGGAACAGAAACACAAACTAAAAGGATAGACAGAAAGCAATGCAAGATTCAACGGAAAAGGGGCAAAGCAGTAGACGACGTCGGCAGAAACTCCGTTGCGGCCACGCAACTGCAGCAGACACGTAAAAGCCAAGAAGATAGGAAATAGGAAAAGACAGAAATGCAGAAGTGTCTACAGATAGATAGACGTGCGCATTGGCCAGCGGGCCCAGCAGTAGCGAAAGAAAAAACAGAAAAAGAGAGGCCAACAAGAGGCTGATGAGGGTAACAAAACAGAAAGAGGCAGCTTCAGAAAACACAGCCAAAAAAGTGATTTTGGGGGCGAGCAAGTGCAGAGAGGCAGTTCTGGGCAGCCGCAGCGATAAGACGAAGCGAAAAGGCCCACTTCGGGATCTCGGGTATTGAGGGATATCTTTAAAGGCATGATGAGTTGGGGGATGACAGTCACCGCCTTCTTCCCACTGGCTTCCAGCAGATCATGCGTCTGCACACAGTTCCCCACACAGAAATGACCCATATTAGCCTTTTGAATTTGGAGTGAAGTGGCCACTTCAAATTTAGAATCTCAACTTCCGCCCCAAGCCCACTGCGCGCCAAACCTAGGCGATAAGCAGGCCCCCCAAACTTAGCAGACACTTGGGGGCTATCTAAGCCAGCTGCCTCTGATGACGCATGCAACAGCAAAGGCCGCTGCTCGTGCGGCGGCAGCCTAGGTTGTGCGGGACGTCTTGGTGGCTAGCTGGGGGCTCATGCTCTCGCGAGGCCAGCAGCAGAGGAGGCGGATTATGCCACTGCCTAGCTGCGGGGCTGCACGGCTAGCTGTGTGGGGCTAGCCGGCTAGCTAGCTAGCTGCGTAGCTAGTTCCTTCGGTGGTTGTGGGCTAGCTGCGTGGCCAGGAGGACTGTGCAGCGAAGTTGCTGCTGGGTAGCTAGCCACTCAGCTAGCTAGCTGGCTGGCCTGCGAAAATGTAGGTTGGCGTTACCCCCTGCACTGCAAGGAGCCTGTAAGGGTCATCCTTTTCTCGAATGCCGTCGCAGAAGATGGGAAGGTAGCGGTGCAAGTCTACTGAGGAGGGGGGCACTGCCCAGGAGACTTTGTTGCCTGCAGAAGAAGACCGGGAGCCCACAGCTAGCTCAGCTAGCCATGTGAATCGACAGCTAGCCACGTGAATTGGCAGAGAGCCGAACGAGGCCCCAGCCAGCCGGGCAAGGGGCCAGCCACCCGCCCGCTACCAGCTAGCTACGCAGCTAGCTAGAAGCGCGCCAGCGCGAGACGCTTTGAACCAGAGACTAAGACAAAGAGAAAAAGACTCCTGAGCTTCTTTAAAAGCAGACCGGGTGAGAGAAAAGAAGAAGAACAGAAGGGAAAGGGGAGCATCGAGAGACAAAAAGGCAAGGCAAGAGGCGAATGACGGCAGCAGATAAGGAAGCAACCAGAAGCACAGCAGGGGTAAAAAGAGCTACAGACACAAAGAGAAGCACAGAATGAACCAGGAGTTTGGAGAGAAGAGGCAGGAGGCCCGGGCAGCACAGATGAAGAGACAAAGCCAAAAAGATGGCTGAGACAGGCGGACCTGATGCTGTGTGGTCTATAGATAAGGGAATGTCTCCTCTGTCGTAGTAAAAACGAAACAGAGTTGGCTCAATTTGCCGGCGGCGGAAGGCCCCTAAGAGCAGCCCAAAAGAGAAGAACGAGGACTTCGGTGGGGGACAAAGTGAAATGAAATGCAGAAGCAAGAAAAACAGCACAAGGAGCCACATTTGGAGGAGAAAAGAAAAAATTGCTAGTTTTAGAAAGACATGAGATGAAGCAAAGAGACAAAGAACTGAGAAGGAGCACCTAGGCCTTCTTTGCCGTGCCCATGCACCCTAAGAAGCACTCAGCAACATCTACCTGCTTTGGGCGGCAATGGCTGACTCCGCGCCCACCTCATTTGACCCCCTGCATCTTTATATCCTCCAGCTCCCCCTGCAGCAGCAGCAGCAGCAGTAGCAGTAACAGCAAAGATTCCCGCTGCAAGTCTGCTGAAAGTTTCTGTACAGGTTGAGGTGCTGGTCAGATGCAGCGAATAGCTGGCCTAAGAGAACTAAGGAGCTCTGCTTCCGAAGGCTCGAAGCAGCAACGGCAGCAGCAACACAACCATCAGCCACAGCAGCATCGTTAGTGGCTGCTGAGACAGGACAGGTGCAACAGCAGCAGAAGTAGCAGCGACACTGCCAGTAGTGGAATAGCATCAAGAATAGCAACAGCGAAGCTTTCTACAACATAAAGAGCTCCAGCAAACAGCAGCAGCGAGAGCAGCACCAACCACTGAAAATGCAGCGCCACTACAAGCGCCACAGGCCCTAGGAGGTTCAGCTCTAGCTGCATCAATTCTAACAGAGACCGCCTTATTAGTAGCAGTTTCTAGCTGCTGAGCAGCTTCTAGCAGCCTAAGACATCAGGCCTTCTACAGGCGTGGATGCAGCAGCACTAGTTTCCCTAGTATTGGCAGTTGCTGTTGCTGCTGGAGCAGCTGAGCCTGAGGTGCTTAGCGACCTTTCACGTTGCTGCGCGCTAAAGACTCTCTCTCGTTGAATCTGGTGAGAGGCTTAATTGAGGCAGTGGCTACATGTGGGCTTTCTACGCAGCTCGAGGACCCCCGGGGACCCCTGGGGAAGTCGCCAAACGGAGACTCTTTATTTCGGGGCAAATATCCTGTAGCCCTTTCCTCTCTTTTGTATCCTTTGTTAATCAAACGACGCAGGGCGTCGCCTTCTTGCAGCTCGCGGCAGCTGCTGGCCATCCAGGAAGCCATGGTTGCGCCGGCAAGTGTAGGTACAACTTCGTTTTATAGAGAAAATATGATATTTGTTTTAGTATTATAACTATTTTAGTTTAGCTGGCGTCCCCTGTCTTTAGGCCACAACGTGGCTCCGCTGCTCAGCAACTGCGGCTACTACCGTGGCTGCTGCTGTTTTGTGCTCGGCTGCTGCCCTGCTACTGTTTGCAGGTACAGGGTGGAAGAATGCTGCTGCAGCTACACATAAAAGTTAAACAGGTCTTCATTTAAAGTCTAGTATTATTTTTTTTTAGGATGCTGCAACCCGGAACAGCAGTAGCGATAGCAGCGAAAACAGCAGCCGCAGCAGCGGCTACTGCCCCAGCCCCGCAAGGCGGGGTGCACAAGCCCCCGTTGCAGCAGCAGCTGCCGATGCTTGTTTGGCTTATGCATGAGGTGGAGTTGACGGTGGGTTTTGGTGGCAGAAGCCGTTTGTTTTGTTGCTGCATAGGTAGCTGAGTTAGCGCTCGTAACAGCAGCAGCAGCAGCAGCAGGAAGATGGGACGCGTCATCCGCTGTAAGCCTCCCGTAGCCCCCCACACTTCTGCCCGTCCACCCTTCCAGTCTGTTTTCGTTGCTGCTAGCCAGCCCCAGCACTCGTTTTGCTGATTTTTTGTCTTTTTCTCTTGCCACTTCAGTCTTTTGGGTTGGTTCGGGACAGAGGCAACGCCCGGCAGCAGCAGCAGCGGCCGCAGCAGAAATAGTGGCGGCAGCAGGGAGCTGGCCGTGCACTTCCTAGCCTCATTCAGCCTACTTAGCGGCGCTTCATTTTGCATTTAGCTGCGTTTAGGATCTCCCGCGCCGTTGCAGTTTAGCGTGCTGCTGCTGTTGCTTTGTGCTGCAGCACAACGTAAGGGTCGCGGGTCCGTGTTCAGGGCCCACACCCACAAGAGAAAGGGGGCAGCCAAGCTCCGCGCTCTGGACTATGCAGAGAGGAACGGCTACATCAAGGGTGGGCTTTGTACAGCAGCTGCGCCGCCGCTGCAGCAGCATGCAGCCGCTGCACCGGCGCCGCGTGTGTCACCATGGGCTACATGCTGCTGCTGTGGCTGTTACTGCTGCTGTTGCTGCTGTTCCTGCATCTGCATCAACATGTACATGGCTAAAGCCACATCATCTGCTGTTCGCCTGCTCTAATGCCCCTTTCCCGATTGCAGCATAGGCATTTGTGTGTTGAATGCATGGCTGTGCGGGTCTGTGTGTGCACCTACAGCTCTGTTGAATAGGAATAAGTATATATATATTTATTATTTATTTGCGAGATATTAAAGGAGAAGCTTCTTGAGTTGCTGCTTGGTGGGCTGCACAGGGCTGGTGACTTCCATTGAACACGACCCTGGCCGCGGCGCCCCTCTTGCTGTTGTTTCCTTCCGTGATGCTTATCGCTACAGAATCAACAAGGAGAGGATGCTGGCTGTGGAGGGGCTGCACACTGGCCAGTTTATCCACTGCGGCAAGAAAGGTGCTTGCTGCTGCTGCTGCTGCTGTTGGGCCTGTTGGCCCTGCCTGCTGCGCGGTTTGTGTCGTATTTTGCTGGCTGTATCGTGCGCCTGATGAGGACTGCGTTTCTCCTTGTGGAGACGGAGCAGCAGCAGCTGCCAATTTGCTGCTGCTGCAATGTTTGCCGCTGCTGCAGTGTCTGCTGCTGCCGTGTCTTTGCTGCCTGCGTGCAGCCGACCTGACCATCGGCAATGTGCTGCCTCTCGGAAAGGTGCCTGAGGGTACAGTGGTTTGCTCTGTGGAGGAGAAGGCGGGAGACAGAGGCACCATTGCCAAGACTTCGGGGACCTTCGCCACTGTGGTTGGTGAGTCATTTTTGCTTCCTTTTCCTCTTTAATATGCTTTTCTGTGGAGCTTGTCTTTTCTTGTATCCCAATTTCTTTTTTTCTTTTTATTTACTGCTGTGTGGCTGTCTTTACTCCTTATCCGGCGCCGCTGTTGTTGCCCGCCACTGTGCTCTCTAGTTCCGCAGCAGCACTCCTGCTGCTGCTACTACTCCAACAGCTGCTGCTGCTGCTGCTGTTGGCAGGCCACAGCGAAGAAACCGGCAAGACCCGCGTGCGGCTGCCCTCCGGCGCCCGCAAGACGCTGCCCTCGCGCTCGCGGTGCATCATAGGGCTGGTGGCCGGTGGGGGCCGTATAGACAAGCCCCTGCTGAAGGCGGGCACGGCCTACCACAAGTACAAGGTACGAGCTGCTGCTGCTGCTGCTGCTTGTAGAGAGGGCTGCTGCTGCTGGCCGCGGCGTGGCGTAGACGACCCAAAGCCAGGCCTAGGCTGTAGAGGCTGAGGGGTTGGGCTACGCACACGGAGGCACGTAGAGGCGGGAAGAAGGGGCCCGGGGCGAGTCTCAGCTGATTCCGAAGTTGAAACTGACAAGATGGAATAGTTGATATGGTTTAGTTAAACGGACCAAAGGGGAATAAGAGAGGCAGTGGAAGAATAATAGGAATTTACGACTGAACGAGTGGGGTATTTGAGAAAATAATACATATTTAGATTGAAGGGGTGCTTCACGCCTAGATGGGCGGACGCAGCCAGATGTGTCGCTGGCTAGCTGGCTAGTCAGCTAGCTAGCTAGCTAGCTGTTGTCTAAGGCGTTGGCTGCGTCTTTGTGTCTGCTGCGGCGCTCAGGCCAAGAGGAACTGCTGGCCTAAGGTGAGAGGTGTGGCGATGAACCCCGTGGAGCATCCTCACGGTGGTGGTAACCACCAGCACATTGGCCACCCCTCGACTGTGTCGCGGACTGCGCCTCCAGGTTCGCTGTGGCTGCCGGTGTCAGTGTCCTGCAGCTGCAGGCTGCATGCATGGGGCTGTGTGGGGTGGCATTATGTCGAAAATAGTGCATCAGTTAAACGGGCTGCAGGGTTTTGGGTGTGTCTTTCGCTGGCAAATAGTTTGCGTGCCGCATGGGGCTCCCCAGGGTGCCGCGCTGAGCTGCTGCTGCTGCTGCTGTTGCTGCTGTGTTCAGGCCAGAAGGTGGGTCTTATTGCTGCCAGGCGCACGGGTCTGTTGCGCGGTGGGCGGAAGACCAAGCTGGTGGGCAAGGACAAGTGAGCGTAGGATTGTTGCTGCTGTTTCCATTCTGCTGCCGTTCCGGCCCTGCCCATGTGTTTCCCACGGGGCACCGTGGGGCATTCCCCAAGCAGCTCTGGAGCAGCTGCAGTGGACTTTTCGTATTTAAGAGGTCTGCGTGTCCTGCATAATTGCGCGGATGGCGCAGCGTTGCCAGAGTGGGCCTCAGGGCCGTAGTGTTCAAGGTATAAGACCTAGAAACCTCGAAAACAGGAAGTACCCTTAAGAACTCGCGAGTAGACTATATAGTTCGGCCGATACGCTGTGGCCGCAGCTCAGATGGACGTGCTGTCTTAACTAGAATCTACAGAGGCTCCGGCTACACGCTAACTGGGGGTGCTCGTACTGGCCTGAAGTGACCTCCTGGCTGTGCCACTGGTGCCTCGCAATGCCAGCAGGACGCATGCATGCAGCTCTAGGCTAACGTGGTGAAGCTGCTGCTGCTGCAGCATATCGCAAAAGAGAACCAAAAAGCAATGCAAGAGCCACAGTCTAGTTCAGTAGGAAAGAGCCGAAAAGAAAGTGACAAACCGATGGATCCACTCCGTTCAAAGATCAATCAAGAGACAGAAAGTAGTTTGGGCAGAACGCCACAATTCCCTTTTTGCTGCTGCAGCAACACCAACAGCTGCAGAAGTCGCTTGAGCCGCCCCTGCTGCCTTGCTGATGTCGTTGCTGCGATCGGCCAAATAGTGCCAGGGCACGACCGCGTCTTCCCCACAGTAAGTCGCACCTTGAAGGGCTCAATCCGGGGCCCCCTTTTAAGGCCCCTTTCGAATACCCTTTGTGCGTTCCCTCACCAATAGCAACCTCACCAGTAGCGCCCCTCGATAGAATAAACCCCTGGACCCGCTGCTGCAGCGCCATCAACAGCAGCTGCTGCAGCTGTTCAAGTTCCTGGGGACAGCGGAGGGGGCACACAAGTGGCGGTGCGTAACTTAGTCGAGTGGAGGCCCCCCTGGAACTGGAGAAGCACCTCTCACGCTGTGGGGTCCCCCTTGTGTGGGACCCCGTAAGTCGCACGGACCGCCCAAGCTCGGAGTCTTCTCTATTCCCCACGACGGGAGAAATTCAACTAAGAGAAAAGATCCGAAAGATACGCGGGTGCTTCACTCGAGGGCCCATAAGCCAATAAAGCCCCAAATGTGCACACGGGACAGAAGTGGTTACGTACACTCAACGAAATAGCGCACAGACTTCCACGCAAAAATGCATGCAAACCATAACTACGGGTGCAAACCGCATTTGCATGCATGCATGTACTTAGTGCATGCACCTGCACGCATCCAACCATCTAATAAATTCAGCAAGCAGGCAGTTGCGCGTGTTCACAGGTGCACGGATGCATGCGTGCGTGTATGTATGCATGCAGATGGCACAGGTAGAAGATGAAGGTCTAAATACATGTGCATGCACTTCCATACATAGTCATGCACGCTTGCATAAGCACAAAGAGTCCGTCTGCCGCCCGTCCCTGTGTGGCTGCTGCTACGAGGCGTCCCTGGGTGCACTTAGTGGGGTCTCATCGCAAGAGTCCCCTCCCTGCATGCGCGCATGCACGAGTGCATGCATGCATGCATGCATGCATAGTATATACACACGCAGGCACCAATACATACGATATACAAAACGTATAGCACATACAAAACACCACTTGCATGCACCTAGATGCGCAGATGCATGCACTTCCCATGCCAAGAGCACGCCGGCGGTGATGCGAGAGGGGCTAAGGGCTTCCCAATTGCATGCAAGCACTTGAGAGGCCCCTCGGGGCCCCCTCAGGGACCTCCACGGGGGCCTCTGCGCGGCCCCCAAGTCGGCTGGCATCCTGAGGGCTTCCAATGTCTAACGGAAGGCTCCTGAATTAGAGGACGTTAGAGAAGAAGGCTCGCCCCCTGTTCGATCGCTGCCCACGGTACCTGCTGCTGCTGCTGTTGCTGCTGCTGCTCTGCCGTCGGCCTTATTAATGAAATGAGAAAGCCGCGCTGCCAATTCCTCCAAAGGAAGGCCCAGCGAAGCAGCAATGTCTGCAGCAACACTCTGGTGAGGCCCCCAATCCGCGGGCGCCCCCGAAGACACAGATGAAACACTTTCCGTGGTCTTTGGCAGCATGGGGGCCTCTCCAGCTTCACAGCTGCTGCTGCGAGACCTCTCATCAGTCAGCTGTTGCTGCTGCTGAGTAGTTAGCAAACCATATTCGCTTTCTTTGTTTGTGCGGGTGGGAGACGGGGCCTCCAAGGGTCCCAAGACAGGTTCTAGCAGGCTGCTGCTGCTTCCTGCTGCTGCTGGGAAGTTCAGCAAGGCCTCTGCAACCCCATCCGCAAGCATGCTGCTGCTTCTGCTGCTGCTGCTGCTGCTACCCGCACGGGGCGGTGCCCCTCCGTCATCCGCCCGTCTTGAATGGGAGGCCCCCTGGGGCCCTTGGGGCCCCCCGCCTCCCGAAGAAGGCCGTCGCTCGGGCTTCCTTGCCTTCAGGCCTCCCGCGTTGGCTGCAGTTTCTGTGGTAGCTGCTGCGGCAGTAAGAAGATCCCGCTGCCTCTTCCTGCTGCCGCGGCCCATGTGCTGCTGTTGCTGCTGCTGGAGGGCAGCACCAACGCCTGAGGCAGCAGCCGCGGCCCCCGCAGCTGGCGGCGCAAAGACTGCAAGCCCCCTGAGAGCTGAAGTGGCCTCCGGGTCGTCTCGGATGGACTCCGTCTTGACGCTGCTGTGCTGCTGCTGCTGCGCTGCATGCGGAGAGGGCGCCCGCTGCTCGTGGGCGCTCGCCTCCAGCCTGCCTTGCTTGTAGAAAATAGTTCTTTCCTGAACAGTCATGAACGCTTCCTTGGGCCCGAAGAGCGGCAGCGGCTTCCCCTCGTCCAGCAGCTGCTTCCGGTCCCGCAGCACCGCTTCAGTTATCAGCGGCAGCTGAAACGGCAGCCCCGCGTACCGATTCCGCAGCCTCACGGCCTCGTTGTATGCAGGCAAAATGCCGTGCAACGCGTGGAAGGAGCAGTACTTGGTTTCGTGTCGTGTCAGTGAGACCCGCAGGGCGTATTCACGGGGCGCCGGGCAGCAACCGGGGGCCCCCAGGGGGCCCCCCTCTGCCCCGCCACCGCAGCCCCCGGACTTCACAGCCTTGTGCGATTTCAGCTCCAGCTTTATTCCCGTCGGCAAGGGCTGAATCAGCTGGATCATCGTGCTGCAGCAGCAACAAGCAGCAGCAAGCGGACAAACCCATGCAACGGAAAGCAGCAAACGGACACGGAGATGCCAGAACAAAGCAAACGAAAACTACAAAGAAGGCAATACTGGCAGCAGAAAATGGGAAGCAAGCTAAAACAAACACAGTAAACCAGCAGAGCAAGCAGCAGGTGCACAGGTCCACAGATGCTGCCACAGCCACAGATATCAGAATGAGCTCGAAGCGTTCCGTCAAATAAACCCCAGCGAAGCTCAACAAGAAAAAATAGCAACAACGAGCAGCAGTAGAAGCGGCAGAAGCAGCAGCAGCAGAAACAGTAACGGAACGCACCTGTGAGGGTATGGGTCGTGCAGGTGCTGCGCATTGCTGCCTCTGCTGTAAACAGAAGTAGAAGAGCCCCCGCAGTGCTGCTGCTGCTGATGCGGCTGCGGAGATGGAGACGTTGCACTGTCTGCAGCAGCAGCAACAAAAAGGCAGCCAGATGCAATGCTTGAGGTTTGCTGCGAAGCAGAAGGCTACAGCAGCGGCTGCTCGTGCAGCAGCAACAGCAGCGCGAAGAGCAGCAGCAACAAAGGCAATGGCAAAACACACAGCAAAACTGCAAGATCCGCGCCGGAGTAGTCCCAGCAACAAGAAGATGAACTTCAAGCATCCGCAACCGCAGCAGCAGCGGCAGCAGCAGCAGCAAGCCGTGCACGCTTACCCCTAGACCGGTGGCTGCTGCTAGCAGGAGGGGAACAGCTGTTGTTGCTACTGTTGCTGTTGCTGCGGCGCTGTTCCTGCTGCAGCAAGGCCAGGCGGTGGTCATGAAGCCGTCGAACAGAAGCTGGCGTGAGGCGCAAGAGCTGCTGCTGCTGCTGCTGCTGCTGCTGCCGATGCTGGGGGGAAGTGGCACCGCTGGACGCTCCAGCAGCACCCCGCTGCTGCTGCTGCGATGTCTTCCTGCGGTACTCCCCTGTCTTAACCGGAAAGCTCTTGAGCTGCTTGAGGGCACCATCAGCAGGAGCAGCAGCAACAGCTGCGCCTGCGGCTGCTTCTCCCTTGGTAAACGCAGCAGCAAACGCCTGCTGCGCTGCAGCAGCAGTTCCTGCTGCTGTGGGGGTTCGCGGCGGCGGAAGCAGCCCCGCCTGCGACAGCAAGTAGTGCTGCAGCGCTGCTGCAGGCACGTTGCCCACCTGCAGCCCAGCAGCAAGGCCCAGCAGCTGCGTATCCAAACAAAGGGAGTGCTGTTGCGCCTGCCGCACCTGTTGCTCTACCTGTTGCTGCTGCTGCTGCTGTTCCAGCTGCTCCTGCTGCTGCGGCGTCGGCGACTGTGCCGGGCGATGGCTGCGGTGCGAAACAGGCGACGCTGCGGCGATGTCGCACTTGACCTGCTGCTGAAGCTGTTGCTGCAGCTGCTGCAGTTGCTGCTGCTGCTGCTGCAGTTCCTGTTGCTGCTGCAGCTGCTGCAGCTGCTGCAGCTGGTGCTGCTCTAATTCTGATATCCGGCTCGTCTGAAGGGCAGAGGTCAGCGGGTTACGCAGGAGAAGCAGAGAGCGGTCGTCATGCTCGAGGGCCTGCTGCTGCTGCTGCTGCTGCTGTTGCTGCTGCTGCAGAGTGCTAATGGACTGCAGCAGCAGCCGCTGTTCACTGTGCTGCCGCATTGTCACGTCCAACAGTACACAAAGCCGCTCATGAAGATCAGACAGCGTGTCTAAGACGCTGTTTGCTGTGTCACCTGCTGCTGCATCCATGCGTTGGGTCCCTGCAGCAGCAGCTGCTGATGCTGCTGCAGCAGCAGGTGCCGCCACGTCCGCTTCTGACAGGCCAAATAAGCCGGAGTCGTTGCTGCTGCTGCTGTTGCTGCTGCTGTTGCTGCTGCTGCCCATTGGAGATGGCGACACTGCTGCTACTGCTGCTGCAAGGTTAGCGATTGTGGGCGCTGTCGCTTCCATTGCCTGCTCCTGCTCCTGGCACTGCTGCTGCAGCTGCTCCAGCTGCTGCTGCAGCAGCAACGGCTGCAGCAGCAGCTGTTGCTGCTTCGACTGTAGCGGGATGAGCTGCAGCTGCTTCTCCAACCTTTCGAGTAGCAGCTGCTGCTGAAGCAACTCCCGCTGCTGCATCTCAAGAGACTGCGTCTGCTGCTGGTGCTGCTGTTGCTTCTGCAGCAGAGAGTCTGTCGCTGTTGCTGCTGCAGCAATCTTGGATGGGGCCCCCAGAGGAGACGTGTCTGGGGTGTTGCTGGCAGTCGATACGCCAGGCTCTGCTGCTGTTGCTGCTGCTGCACCTGCTGCACCTGCTGCACCTGCTGCAGGCGGCTCCCCTGGTCTACCCACCCAGGAGCTTCGCAGGGCTGCAGCGCTGAGCGTTGGCTCTGCTTTTATTGCTGCTGGCAGTGGCTCTGCTGCTGCTGATTCCGACGCTGCTGCCGTTGCTGTCTCTTCTGCTGCAGCTGCTGCTGCTGGGGCTTCTGTCACTGCGGCAGAGTCTGCTACTGCTGGTTCTGCTGCTGCTGGTTGTGTTGCTGCTGGTTCTGCTGCTGCTGGTTCTGCTGCTGCTGGCTCTGCTGCTGCTGCAGACGCCTCTGCTGCTCTTTCAACTTCCGCTGTCGCCAGCACGTCCGCGGAAGCTTCTTCTCCTGCAGCAGCAGCCTCTGAAACAGCAGTAGCTGCTGCTGCTACTGATGCTGCTGCTGCTGCAGTTTCTGCAGCTTCAGCAGAAACCGCTTCTGCAGCGGCCTCCGCTGACTCGACAGATGCTGCTGCTGCAGCAGGTGCTGCTGCTGATACTGTATCCGTCTCCATTATATATTAGCAAAAACGTATCAGCAAAAACAAGACCCTGGATTTGCTACTGTGGCTGCCTTCGCTGCTGGTGCTGCTGTTGCTGCCGCTGTTGCTGTTGCTGCTGCCGCTGCTGCTGCCGCAGCCCGTGTTCCTCAAGACACAGATGCGGCTGCTGCCGCTATTTTAAGAGGACAAAAGAAATGGCACCTGCTCGTGCTGCTGCTGCCTGTGGCTTGGACACCCGCCAGTCCCTCTGCAGCTGCCGCTGCTGCCGCGACTCCCCCTCCCGCTGCTGCTGCTGCTGCTGCAGCCGCTGCCGCCGAAAAGGGAGTAAATTAGAAGGTGGGTCCGCCCCCCCTGTTGCTGCTGCTGCAGCTTCCCCAGCTGCAGTACAAAGTCGTACAGCGGCAGCAACTAGCTGCTGCCCGGGTGGGGGAGGGCAAATCAGGAAAGGGAAAAAGGCAAAGGCGTCTGCACCTTGTGCTTCTCGTGCTGCTGCTTCTGCTGCTGCTGCTTCTGCTGCTGCTGCTTCTGCTGCTGCTGCAGTATCCCCATACTGTGGCAGCCAAATGATGAATGAGGAGGGAAGAGGTTTTGCAGATTCCGTTGCTGGGGGCGGCGCCGTCACCGTGGTGCTAGCCCACCCACTGCTGGTGCAGCAGCAGTTGCTGCTATATCTCGCGCCACTGAGATCTAGGCAAAATCAAGTGGGGGGAAGACAAAAAATTGAGTAGGGGTGCTGCTGCAGCGGCAGCAGCAGCATCGGTCAGTAGCCCCTGGTCTAGCAAGGAACAGTGCAGTAGTCGGGGGCTCCCCGAAGCCCTGAGGGTGCCTCTAGGGCTTAGGAGGCCCTAGAACAGATATATAATCCAAAACAAAGTGAGTGGAACAGCAAAACAAACAAGCCAGGCAACACAAGCGGCTTTGCTGCTGGGTGCTGCTACGCTACCTCCCAGAAGCAGAAGCAGCAGCAGCGACAGCGGCAGCGATTGCTGCCGCGAAGGCCCAGCAGCAAGTGTTAATATATCCTTTTAACGGATTTAATTCAGCAGCAGAAGCCCTAAAAGCCGTCCCAGATAACGTAGCCGGCGCCGCTGCAGCACAAACGAGCACGGGGGAGAGACGGGTGTTGCTGCTGCAGCACAGCAGGGGCTTGATGAATCCGCAGCAGCTGCTGCAAAAGGAAGAGAAACAAAGAGAGGAGGTGACTAAAGGAAAGTAGAGTCGCAGGCGCTTGTGGTTGCCGCGGTTGCTGCTGCTGCTGCTGCTGCTGCTGGGCATCGGCAGCGCGGCTGGCAACAGCGTGCAGCGACCGCAGGCCTTTCCCCACGGTATCGAGCCTAACGGTTTATGAAGTTTAAGGATCCGTTCTTTGTTGCTGACATTGTTAAATTCGTTTGAGCGGCTGTAAAAGGGTCATATTGACTCTAATCAACTCTTCTCAAGCGACAAACGAACAACGAAAACACGCACCAGCAGCGGCAGCCTGAGCCTCCACGTCGGCTTCGATGGAGCAGCCGCGCCGCCGACACCATCCAGAGCCTAACCCGCTGGCTTTTGCATTTTTATTTTATAATAGATCAAATATTTAGACTAGACTAACCTTTAAAGACCCATAAATCAACCTAATCACTCCCACGAACACCCTACTCCTAAGCAGCGGCACCAACCAACCACGCAGGGGGGCCCTCCGCTGTGAGCCGTGGGGGCGGCGTTGCAGTTGGTGCTGGTCCTGGGGAAGCAGCCCTCATCCCGGAGCCATTAGGTTCTATTTATGCGCAAAGATCTTGCCTTAGTACTCAGAATGAGTTAGTTTAGCTTCGATTCTCTCGCCGGCGCTTCCACAAGCAGGGCTGGCTTAGGGGGTAATCCGTCTTAGCGTGTGCAGCCCCGCTTTCGGCCACACAGCCTCTGCTACTGCTATTTCCCAGCCCTTGGCTGCATTCTGCAGGCCCGAATCGGTGCTGCTGCGGCCTTCATTTCGCCCGGGCGCTTCTGCGGCCCGCAGCAGCTGCAGCCGCTCGCAGCCGCTGAATTGCAGCTCCTGCTTAGCGTCTCTAATTACCTTTCCCTGGCCCCGAGGGACTTCTTTGCATGCACCCATATTCGCGGGCCCGTGGCCCCCCCAGCAGCCTATAGGGCGTGGGGGCTGTGGCCTTGCTGCCTGCTGCGCAGCCCAGTTGCCTTCCCCCGTGCTGCGTAGCACTTCCTTTTAGGTTTACAGACGCGGTCAAAGCCGCCCCCTTTCTTCCAGCAATTAATTGAATAAGGGTTTTAGTTCCAAGCTGAGACTTAGCCCCCACTCGCGCCGCGAAGCTGCGCCTTGTCTTACTTTTCTAATAGCTCCGAAAGCCCATATAACTTTACTGAACAGTCTTCCGCTAGTCTCGGAAATGGCTCTTCCGCAGCTGCTAGTTTAAAGTGTTCAGTTCAACAGAGAAGAAGCAGACTTGGCGGATTCGTCGGGGTGCGCCATTGGCTTCGGCCGCGCTGGCAAGCCCCGCTTGTGGGTTCAAATTCTTGGCCTTTATTGAATTTCTTTCTGAGTTCGAGTTGCTCCCTTCACCACTTTTAGGCAAGCGACAGATCTTTAAATGCCACTTTTAAAAGCTCGGAGATTAGCCACCTCGCTGAACTCGCCTACAGCCAGCAGGACCCACAATCCAGCCACCAATCCCAGCCTTTTTAGCTCTCTTTGACCTCCCAGCCCCACCAAATAGGCCGCAGCTCTTATTGCATGCGCTTGTGCCTCTACAGTATTTGCAGAAGCTGAGCAGCTGCAGCTGCGGCCGATATAAGTAGAGTTACTTCTGGCTGCCCCAGTTGGCGTCCCCGCGCCAAAGCCCACAACACTTTCTTTGTTAGCTCGAAGGCTTTGGGGCCCCACAGAGTGACTAGAGAATGAAAGGAGTGAAGGAAAGGCATCGGAATAATATGAAGATAAAACATTTTAATACTTACTTATTATGCTGCAGAAAGCGCAGCCAGTCACCTGTGTTGGATGCCCCACTTCCCCCGTGAAATGCAACGTAGCTATTGGACACAGGAGAGAAGACTCTTCTGCTTTTAAGGCATTCCAAATGTTGAACTTGATGCTGTAAATAATTGTGCGTGTGGGGCTGGCTGTTCTTGGCGCTATGGGGAAAAGGCAGAAAAGGCTTTAAGTGCTTGTTCTTCCTTCGCTGCAGAAGTTGGGTTTGGGAGAAGGAAAAAGAAGTTTTCAAAGCCCTTTCTGTCTTTCTGAAGTCTCATTTAGCAGCGGCAGGAGGCCATTAGTTCTCTTAATTCTCTTAATTGTCATTTTTTCCAGAATGAAAATTTTCTTGCGTTTTACTCTTCCAGCCCTTCAGCCTCTGCCAATATGCCTTGCTGCTGCAGCGCCTTTACCTCACCTGCTTGCTGCTACGCACTGCAGAAGCTGCAGCTGGCACGTGGGCCATTTATTATTTTCTTACACACAAGACTGCTGCGCAGTATTTTCTCTCTACCCAATTCGAATCAAAGTCCAGTTCAAAAGTGCTTTATTTGGGCTGCAAGGCACGCAATGAAATAGTATGGAGGTAAATGCAGCAGAACGCATCGAAGCAAAATGCCACTCCCGCTGCTGCTGTCTTGGTCTTTGCTTCTAAGTTGAAACATTAGTGGCTCTCCTGGTGCTTATAGCCTTAGCTATAGCTTATTCTTTAGTGAGGAGACTCGGGCTCAACCAAGTGCGTGGATCTGCAAAAAATGCAGCATTTGCAAGGAATGCCGCCAACGGGAGAAGTAAAGAATGCAGCAGCACTGCTGCTGCCTCCTTTGCTGCTGCTGCTGCGCCTGCTGTTAGTGGCGGAGTACCTGCTGCTCTCGTGATGCTGCATGCAACCTAACTTTCTGCATAAGCCGGAAAGCAGTAGCCATCTTGCTGCCTAAACTCTAGCTTATTCCTCCCTCCTTAGCCGCAGGAATACCCAGGCCCACCAAAGCTGCAGCAACTCTGCAGAGCTGCAGCGCTGCGGGCCTGCCCAGAAAGGGAAACATGGGCAGCAGAGTGGCCAGCAGCAGCAGCAGCAAAGACAACAGGCCGCAACCACAGCAGCGGGAACACACGTCCGCCGGCGCTGACCGAAGCAGAGGTGGGGAGAGGAGCAGACAAGCTTCAAAAGAGGCGGAAAAGTTATGAACCGTGGAAACAGAATTGGCGCCAAAGAAAGTAAGTGAAAAAAGCTGGAGCACCGCAGCAGAGAAGTCCCAGAGGCGGAGGCAGACAGCCGCAGGAAGAGGAACTGCATGTACTTGACAGTAGACGCCTGGATCCAATTGGCTCTTACCAAAGTAAAAGCAAAGAACCCCAGGTTACTCAGGATAGCGCTATGGGGCAGAAGGCTGTAACTAGCCACAGCTGGCCACAGCTAGCCACAGCTAGCCACAGCTAACCTCTGCGAGCTGAGGCAAGCTCTATCTAGGACTGAGCCGACTGCCAGAAAACGAGAAAATCAACATCCGAAGATGTTGTTAGTTTATGCGTAACCAGCCTGGTTATCCACCAGCTACGGCTACTCGTAGCTAGCTGCGCTGGCAGCCCTGGCTAGCTACTGCTGGCTGTGGCCAACTGTGGCTTGCAGTGCCAGGAGCAGCTCTAGGAAGCTCCTAGTAGTTACTCCCGCTGCTGGTAGCTGTGGGGTGGCCCAGAGCATATATTTGATGCTAAAGGCTGCTAGAGGTGTTTCGGGAATGGGGGGTTCTGTGGCTGTGCGCTTAACTTCGACGCAGCAGCAAGTGCAGCAACAAGCACAGCAGCAGCAGCAGCAGCGGCACGGCCAGCAGCAGCAGCAGAAACAGCAGCAGGAGAAGCAGACTGAAGACAGGTATAACGTTTGTGTCTGTGTCCGTGTGTCACCTTAGCGGCCGCTGCACTTCTCCTCTACGGCACGGGGAGCCCCGCTGTGGGTGGAGCTGCAGCTAGGTGGGTTTGCGTGTTGTTGCGCCTCTGCTGTTGCTGTTGTTGCTGCTGCTGTTGCTGCTGCTGGCGTTCCGGGCCTTGTGGGCGGGAGCTGCGTTGCTGTTGCTGCGGGAGCGGGCGCGTGTGCGGGCTCGAGCCACTGCAACAAGCTCGACGAGGTCGCCGCCGTGGCTGTAGGGATACCTTTTCTTAGAGAGCACCAGCATGGGCAGCAGCAGCAAATAAGCCCCGCAGACAGTGCCGAAGACACCCCACATGACGGCCTCTGCTGCTGCAGTGTCCGGGACGTCTGTGTAGTGTTTGTACAGCTCGTTGCTCAGCAGCGAAAGGAAACCCCCCACCATGCTGGCCACTCCCACCAGCCTCCCGTAGTTCACGGAAGTGAACATGTCTTTGATGTAAATGTAAACTTGAGATGAAAACATTGAAATGTAAACTGAAAAGCAACACACCGACACCATGTCGCCCACCAAACCCCGAGATATCGCCAGCCCGTAAGACAGGGCCCCCGCCGTGTTCACCACCAGCATTATGTACACTATCGGCACAAAGTCCGCCCTGCACCCACACACAAACCCCAAGCCCTAAACCCTGAACCCTAAACCCTAAACCCGCATCGGTAGAGAATCTGAATCCCGAGCTGGATGCTCAAAGTGCAGCCTGCAATTCATTTGCAGCAGGCAGCTAGTGGCTTGAGAGCTCTTGAGAGAGGCCGAGTTGGATAAGAAGAGGAAAGGCGTTTCGACGGTTTAGGGTTTAGGGTTTGTCGCTGGCGCACAGCCTGCCTAGGAAGAGCGTGGGCAGAGTGGAGAGGGGAATGGCAATGCTGAGGGCCTCTCTGGCGTCTTCGAGGAGAAACTGGTTTGCTGCTTGTTGGTAGTAATTGATGGCAATGCTGCAGACTCCGAAGTAAAGACAAACTCCAACATAAAGGAGGGTCAGAGCCTCGCGGTGAAAAGGCTTGAAGAAGGAGTCGTCAGTGACGCTGCTGAGTTCGTCGACGTCGGGAATGGGGGACACGAAGGAGACGGAGCGGCTCCTGCTGCTGCTGCTGCCCCTGCTGCTCCTGCTGCTCCTGCCGCTGCTGCTGTTGCTGCTGCTGCTGCTGGTGGGCGCGGACGAAGCCAGGGCCACGGCGCGGGCCTCGGCCTCGGGCGAACAGCTGCGGCGGCGGGGGGCCTCGGGAGAAGCAGCAGCAGGCAAGTTGGGGCGTCGGGGGGGCGAGCGAACAAGAACGAACATGTCCACTTGAATAAAACCCCCCAAAGGAACAAAAAGAGAAACAATTATGAAGCAAAAGCAAGGCCCGAGAACTGCGTAGCCCCAGCAGACCCAGCGGAAGCTGACGCCAGCTGTCTGTACAGCGCGCAGCACCAGCGGCACTGCGAAGCTCAGCGAAGAAGCCACGCCCAGGGCCGTGAGGGCGAACCCCACACTTCCGGGAAACAAGTTTGCAATGCACAAAACTGGAATAAAACACAAGTCTGAGCCGGCCCCAATGAGCACAAAGGCCGGAACCACGGCCCGGAAGGAGGCGTTGCTGGCCCCCAGAAAGACCCAGCCACAGATGTTGAGGGTTTGGCCCAGCAGCGCAGTCACCTTGGGGCCCGCAGTGTCCACCAGCAGCCCCGCAGCCGCGCTAACTATGAAGTGGCTCGCGTAGCAAATGGTGAAGAGGTTCTGCACGCTCGTGTCCTGGGCCCTGCACACGGGCTGTTCGCTCAACTCCGCCTCGCTCTGTTCCTCCGTGCTGCACAGCCACAGCGAGACCCCCGCCCTGTAGAGCATGCTGCTGAGGGGCCCCCACCCGAAGTAGACGCAGGAGGTCAGCAGCGTGTACAGCATGTAGACCCCCAGCAGCAGGTACCGGTTCAGCCGGAACGGCGTGGCTTGTGCTGCAGCGGGGTGCTCCACCGACGGCAGCAGCAGCCCGCGGCTCCGCAGCAGCAGCTGCGACACCCGGCTCCACCCCCTCTCCTCCCCCGCGCCTCGCGCCGCCCGCCCGTGGCTCCGCGCGGGCCCCCGGGGGGGGCCCCGAGCCGCCCCCGGGGGGCCCCGGGGGGCCCCCGGGGGGCCCCCAGACACCATTGCCTGCGGGGACACTCCCCCGGCAGGCGGCGCGGGGGGGGGCCTGGGGGGCCCCGGGGAGGAACCCTGCGGAACCCGCGCAGCTGGGGCCCCAGGGGTCCCAACGGCCCCAGCCCCTACTGATAAGGTCCTCATGCTCTAAGGCCTTCATCTCACGCCGTCCTCCCCGCCCACTGAGCCGCCGCTGCTGCTGCTGCTGAGAACGCTGCTCCTGCTGCTCCTGCTGCTGCTGTGTGCTGCTGCGTTGCGCGCGCAAGCAGCCGCCAACTCCTCCGCAGCACTAACCCGAAGCAGGGAGGTGCGGGTCCCCTCAGGCTGCGGAAGGCTTCGCATATCAACTACAGTTTGTAAGTTTAGTCCTTTTTAAATTTAATAAAACTAGAGACGCGCGACGAATTCAAAGCTGCAAATAATCCAGACATACCCAAGACATGCTACCAATCCCGAAACTCCCGAAACAAACTCCCACCACTAAGCCGTCAGCGCTGCGATTTAAGCATTCGCATTGACTTCAGCTGCAGGGCCTTTGACGAAAAACAACATTTAGGCCAAAAGGTCTGGCGTCAGCGTTCTCTTTTGCGGGGGCCGGGGGCCAGTGGTCCACTGGTCCACTGCCACATGGGCTGTTGGTGCTGCGAGGCGGTAAATGGCACACACAAATAGCAGCCAAAGACGCCAATTTTTACTTTTTAAAATTTGAATATGTTTAAAAATGAGCCGAATGGACCTTTCCACCCCGGTCTGAGCTCCACAAAAGAAAGTCACCAGAGCCCCGGTGTCCACTTCTGTCCACGCACGGCCCTATTTTTCGCCACAATTTCCCCTGCCGTTTGACCGCGCAAAACTTATCATTATTTATTAAATAAGTATTTCTTTTCCGGCGCAAAATGCCAAATAATACACGCAGTTGGAGGGCCCCCCTCTGTGCACTTCGACCACCCAAATACACACAAATGGGCCAAATACTGGCCCTCTCGGCCATCATATGTGGCCCACAGAGCCACTGGACAGTTCTAGGTGCAGCGCCTAATCCAGATTTGCCACAGAGCAGCGCAGCAGACCAGTCCTGAGGGCAGTTCGCAGCTAAGTAGGCCAGCAGCACTTAACGACGGGAGCAAAAGGTGGTAGGAAAAGGAGTTGCCGTATCGTATCCAGTGCTGTCTCGAAGGTTTTATATTTCAAAAACAACTGGTAACATGTTTAGCTCACTGCTGCAAGCTGCAGCAGCAGCGCGAACAGGTGGCCCGAAGTGACGCGCCAACGCCTCGCGGGCCCCTGCAGCAGCAGCAGCAGCAGCAGCCACTGCAGCAGAGGCAGCTACTGCAGCAGCGGCAGCCACTGCAGCACCGCCAGCCCTTGCAGCAGCAGCAGTAGCCCCTGCAGCAGCAGCAGGTGCAGCAGCAGCGGTAGCCCCTGCAGTCCAGTGGTCAAGCTCGGCAGAGCCAGTCTTTTGGGGCCTTTTGGGGGCCCCCAGTAAGCCTAGCGGCAGCGGGAAAGGGCCCAGCAGCCCATACTGCTGAAAGAGAGCAGCAGCTAAGCCTGGGGCCTGGGGAGGGGGCCCCCGCATGGGCCCCAGCTCAGGTGCTGCAGAGCCAGTGCAGCAACTGGAGGTCCACTGGTCACCCCGGAGGACCCCAGAGAGCTACAGGGGCCTCTGTAGGGGCCCCAAGGGGCTCTCAAAGTGCCCCTTACGGGCCCCAAGGGGCTCTCAAAGGGCCCCCCAGGGGCCCCAAGGGACCCTTAAAGGGCCCCCCAGGGGCCCCGAGGGGTCCCCAGGGGCCCCCGGGGGCCACCCAAGGGGCCCCAAGGGGCTCCCAGGGGCCCCAAGGGGGTAGAAGCTCTGCAGCTAAAAAGGCCAAGGCTAGCTGGGCCCGCATGGCAAGAGGGCCCTTGGGGCTTTAAGAGTTTCTTTGGCTTTAGCTGGGAGCTGCACAGAGGGCTTTTTCTTGTTTTTCTGCTGCTGCACTGCTTGCTGCTGCACTGCTTGCTGCTGCACTGCTTGCTGCTGCACTGCTTGCTGCTGCACTGCTCGCTGCTGCACTGCTTGCTGCTGCACTGCTTGCTGCTGCACTGCTTGCTGCTGCACTGCATGCTGCTGCTGTATTCGCGAGCTAACAAACTGTAAACTTCTAGCTGCTGGCGGCGAAGCAGAACATGCAAGAAGCCTTAGAAGCCTTAGTCAACGCGCTGACTGCAGACTGCTGCAGCTGCTGCCAACAGAGCAAGCTAGCTGGCCGTCTGACCAGCCAGCTGGCTAGCCAACAGGGCTAGCTAGCTAGCCAGCTAGATAGCCAACAGGGCTAGCTGTGGCTAGCCAGCGCGGCGCATTGGAGGGCCTGAGCTGCATGGAGAGGCGTGCATCTGTGTGGGGCGGTTGCACTTGGGCTCCCCACAGCGCAAGCTGCAGTTCCTGGGATCGGATCCCAGGCGCAACTGGGATCCGATCCCAACGATCCCCGAGGATCCAGAGCCTCAGGTGTGGGGCAGCACTGAAGGAAAGGCTTTATGACGGACTTCAGATTCTTTTGCATTTTAGTTTGCGAAAGCCGAAGCAGCAAAAGGCCCCCAAGCAGCAAAAGCCCTTATTGGCTGCCTCACAGCCACAGTTGCTGCTCTGCTGCAGTGCAGCAGCAGCAGCAAGCGCCCAAGCGTCTCGGTCCCTGCATGCATGCAGTAGCTGCTGCAGTGGTTCAGGGTTTTGTAGCTTTAAACCCTAAACCCTAAACCCCAAACCCTAGACCCCAAAATGCCTGTAGCTCTGAACCCAAAACATCCCAACGGCTATCCTCCTTTTACCCTCCAAGGAAGTGGCTCCCCACCCCTAAACCCTAAACCCTAAACCCTAAACCTAAATTGTACACAAGGGCCCAAGGCTCGGGCCTAGGGCCCCTCTGATTGCGCTGTGGGGTTTAGATTTGGGCAGTTCTTTGTGTGCAAGGCAGACTAAGACAAATTGGCTTTCCTGCAGCAGCAGCAGCAGCAGCAGCAGCAACAGCAGCAACAGCAGCAGGAGGCGAGGCAAAGAAGCAAACACTACCCTAGGGTTTGGGGCTGGGGCCTCGGGGGTTTAAATTGCTGTTGTCGCTGAACAACTTCACAAGGGCGTACGGTGTACGTACAGCTCAAAATCTGTCAGTTACTAATCCACCAAAGAAGTCTGCAGCTGCGCTGCTGCCAACAACAAACTTTTTTCTCTAGTTTCTCCGAATCCTTCAAATCCAGTTTGCTTCTCCTTTCTCTTTACCTTTGCTGCTGCTGCTGCTGCCGCTGCTGCGGCTGTTGCTTCTGCATCTGCTGCTGCTTCTGCTGGTGCTGCTGCTCTCTTGGGTCCCTTTGCTGCACTTCCCTTCTGCCGCTGCAGCGCCTCCCCCTCGCAGCTGCGTCTCCGTTTCGATTTGCGTCTTTGTCTCTTTTTCTCTTTTTGTCTCCCCGACTTTCCCGTCTGTTCCTGTTGCCCCGCAGCAGCAGCAGCAGCAGCAGCAGCTGCTGCTGCTGCTGCAGTCCCCAGACCCCACTTCCTGCTCCGCACCCGCTGCGTCTATGGGCCTCCCCACCTCCGGCTTCTGCCTTTTTGTCTTTTCTGTTTTTGTCTTTCTGTCTCTGTCTTTCTGTCTTTCTCTACTTTTGTGTTTGTTTCTGTTCCGTTTGCTGCTGCTGCTGCTGCTAGGTTTGTAAGCTGCTGCGCGTCTGGCTCCTCCCCTTTTGCTGCTGCTTGCTCTTTCGCCTCCCGATTTGCTTCTCCTGCTGGCGCCTGCTGCCCTGCACGCCAGCGACGCCTTCAGCACACCATCTAGCTAGCCAGCTAGCCAGCGAGCCAGCGAGCCAGCTAGCTGCTGTTCACGTATCATTTCGAAAATTGGAGAATCGGCTCTCTAGCCAGCTCGCCGGCCAGGCAGCCACCGAACTAGCCACCTCACCAGCGACTCCGCTCCCCATCCACCCAGCTACCTAGCCAGCTAGCCAGCTAGCCAGC